TTTTTTTCCTGGGGGAGTCCCCCCTCCCCCCCCCCTGCTTCTCCCCCTCCCCATCGGGTACCGCCCCTTCCCCCACCCTGTTTTTTCCCCTCTATGGGGTGCCTCCCCATGGTGCCAGGCTCTGAGCTGTCCACCCCATCTCCCCCCAGGCCAGGTGATCTCGGCCACACAGGAGCAGATCAAGGAGGCCTATTACCCTGAGTATTTCATCCTGGCCACCCAGGGGCAGCTGGAGACACGCCAGGCTGCCCCCATCTATGACGACAGCTATCTGGGTGAGTGCCCTGGCTGGTGGGGGGGAGGTGTCCTGTGAGTGGGGGAGGGGATGGCTGGTTCCTCTTCCGGGTGCCTGTGGGACGTGAGGCGGCTCCCAGCAGACCGAGGCACCTCCCTGCAGGCTCGTCGGTGGTCTCATCCGGGGAAGGCCGGGGACTGGGCAGTCCCTGCTCCCCGGGCCTGGGCAGAGGTTGCCAACTTCAGGGGCTGAGACTGGACTGCCCCCCCCGTGCCAGACGGAGAGAGGGCTTCCACCCCGTCTCGCTCGCCATGGGAGGCCTGCTGTTCGCAGCTGGGCAAACGGAGGCTGTACTGCTTCCCAGGATGCACCGCAAACCCAGGAGTCCTGCCTCCCAGCACCTCCCACCGCTCCAACCACTAGATCCTACTCCCCTCCCAGAACTGGCCAAAGAACCCAGGCATCCTGGGCCAGCCACTAACATCACTCCTTTCCCATAGCTGAGTCCTGCCTCCTCCCAATCTAACCACTAGGCCCCACTCCCCTCCCAGAACTGGCAATCGAACCCAGGTGCCCTCTCTCCTCCTAGTCCACCCCCCAGCCCCCAGCTCCACCCACCAGACCCCAGTCCCTGCCTCCTAGCCCCTGCACTGCAGCCATAGACCCTGGCCCTTGACAGACTGTGACACTGGAACTCCTCTCGTGCAGATGCAGCCTGTGCCTTGGTGCCGGCGAGGCAGTGAGGGATGGGGAGGGAACCCCGACCCCTCACCCAGTGCTCCCTCCCAGGAGCTAACCCCTCGCCCCTCTCCGGGGCAGGACAGAGCAGAGCAGAGCAGCTGAGGAGTGGTTCTGTCTGATCCAGCGCCCTGCCCAGTGTTGATGTAGGGTCTAACCAAAACGTGCAGATGCAGCCTGTGCCTTGGTGCCGGCGAGGCAGTGAGGGATGGGGAGGGAACCCCGACCCCTCACCCAGTGCTCCCTCCCAGGAGCTAACCCCTCGCCCCTCTCCGGGGCAGGACAGAGCAGAGCAGAGCAGCTGAGGAGTGGTTCTGTCTGATCCAGCGCCCTGCCCAGTGTTGATGTAGGGTCTAACCAAAACAAAGGGGATGGTGCTGTGCGGTGCCGGAGCCTAACCCCTCGCTTCCTCTCCTGGCAGGGTATTCTGTGGCCGTTATTCCATTGAAGGTACCAACCATGCTGGGTTCTCTGGAGTTCTGCCCCCCGATTGGTGCAGGGTCCATCCCAGGGAGCCTGGGGCTTTGGAGAAGCAGCCGTGGAGGAGGCAGAAATGAGCCACCCCCGGGGTTTGAACCCTCACGTAGCTGTCGGGAAGGCTGTGACCGTGGGGGGCCTGCTGCTTGGGGACTGTGACGTGCTCGCCCCGTGTTCCATGAGAAATAGCCTGGGGGGAGTTCTGCCCCCCGATTGGTGCAGGGTCCATCCCAGGGAGCCTGGGGCTTTGGAGAAGCAGCCGTGGAGGAGGCAGAAATGAGCCACCCCCGGGGTTTGAACCCTCACGTAGCTGTCGGGAAGGCTGTGACCGTGGGGGGCCTGCTGCTTGGGGACTGTGACGTGCTCGCCCCGTGTTCCATGAGAAATAGCCTGGGGGTGCACACTGCCACCCAGATTGGAGGGGTTGGGGTCGGGCTCAGGCCCCCCCCCCGGGCTGAGCTGCCGCCCGGAGCTCATGGACCCGTATCTCTTTGCTCCTTTGCAGACTTTGTGGCCGGCGTTCCCAAGGGAAACCTGACCTACGGCTACGTAAGTTCCTGGGTCGGGGCAGCAGGGTGGGGGCTGAGGGAGCTCGCCTGTCTCTCCACCTGGCTGCATCCAGATGTTCCAGGCCTCCTTTTCCAGCTGCATCGCTGCTTCCCTTGGCCTCCCTCCATCTGCCCTGGGAGCCTCGCATCAGCCTGGCCCGGGCTGTGCTCAGAGCGCCAAGAGCAGCCAGTGCCACGCTCCGC